AAGGATTACATGCTTTAAAGGATAAACTCGATAGTAAAATTATTCAAAATGGACGAGCAACGCAACTACAGAGATCGATAATAATTGTGAAAAACAACAGAAAAGAAAACATGATTCAAATTTTTATGAAATTATAGAATTTGTCCGTAATAGTCTAAATGAGTCAAACGAAATAAAAGAGGGATCTAAGCAAACGGTAATGGAAGCTGGCGTTAAGGGAAGATGAAGAAGAGTGCAAAAGAGAACAATTTCATAAATTTATTGAATTCACAAACCTTGCATTTAATGTAGTGAGTATTAAATTTTAATATTTTCTGTAAGATGAATTCTTGTGTAAATCAATACTTACTATTTATTTACCGAACTTAATGTAAACAGCACTAAAAGTGAAGAAATTGAATTGGATTCCGAATCTTCTGAAGCAATACAGGTATATACTTATTGTAACTATAGTTGGTAGTGCGGTGTGTGTGGAATAAGTTCTCGCGCAATTTTCGCTTCCAAATTTGGTCGTGATGGTCGTGATGGTCGTGATGGTCGTGATGGTCGTGATGGTCGTGATGGTCGTGATGGTCGTGATGGTCGTGATTGCGTAACTTAGGGCTTAGTGCAACTATATAGTTTGTTCTAGGTTAAAAGTTTCGCTGGCTTTGCTATAGAATTCAAGGTATACTTTTATGCGTAGCTTTTGTAAGCTAAGTTTATAAAAGTTATCAAGTTTTCTTGATCATCGCTGGACTCGATGGCTTAACGAGGGTAAACCAAGCTACTTATCCACATTAATTGCCTCCAACTATTTAGGGGTTATTATGTATGTATAATTTTACTAACGGCCAACTTTTTTGTATTTATTTACAGAACTTAATGTACAACAGCACTAAAAGTGAAGAAATTGAATTGGACTCCGATTCTTCTGAAGCAATACAGGTATATACTTATTGTAACTATAGTTGGTAGTGCGGTGTGTGTGGAATAAGTTCTCGCGCAATTTTCGCTTCCAAATTTGGTCGTGATGGTCGTGATTGCGTAACTTAGGGCTTAGTGCAACTATATAGTTTGTTCTAGGTTAAAAGTTTCGCTGGCTTTGCTATAGAATACAAGGTATACTTTTATGCGTAGCTT